AGCAAGGAGAAATCACATTGAGATTGGTGGCTATAAAGTCACATTTTCAATGAACAATGCATTACGACCACCTCAGGAAGAAAACTGTGATTTTATCGATGGATTGAATGAATTAACTTCTCTTGAGACTGCTATAACTTTAGAATTTCTTGAGGAAATTTCAGAAAAATATTCGCTTGTACTGGAACAACTTGAGGACTCAGATAAGCGGAGCGACAACTCACTTGTTCCCAATTGAGTCTATAGAGCAAGCAAAGCGAGAACTAGAAAGAGAACACAATACACGGGAAGAGTTGAAGAAACTACCAGAGCACCTCAAATATGTATTCTTTGGGCCAGAGGAGACTTACACGTTGATAATCTCCGCCTCACATTGGGATAATTTACTAGGCATAGGCGTGGATCTATTAGGCCACAGAAGATCTTCAACTACTAGGCCCGTCAACAGTCCGGTCAACAACTGCGGGCAGTCGCAGGTCAGCTCTAATACCAAGTGTGACACCCCAGCCTGCAAGCCACGCAAAGCCGAGCGTGTCGGGATTGCAGACTAGCCCCACAGGTCAACACGAGTCGTTCCAACGCACTTTTGCCCTCACTCACGCACACCTTGGAAAACTTGTCACCCGTCCTCAAATTACTCTAGGGCAAGCACGCTTAACTCTAGAGTTCTTTCAATAGGGCTTCCTAAAAGGAATGTGCACATTGCTGACATGCGTAGTCTATTCAATCCATTTAAATTACTATTCAACCTTGGATGGCCTGGCACCGGCTCATCCACACACGGGAATCGTCCAAGCAACGGCCCAACTCCGGGGTATCATAAATAGTTTTTATGTAATTACACTTACTTCTTCTATCGCCACGTCTTATAAGTATATGTTTTGCTAGTTCACGTTCCTCATTCGCTCACTTCATCCATGAGAATGTAGTCATTTTTTAACATACATATCAGACACATCATCTGAACGCCCCCACCGCTCACCTATTATCATACATTATAATTATAATCCTCGTCTCCGCTCATAAACGCTCTTGCTGCATCCATCACTCGCTCACTGTCTCCACTGCATACACTCCAAATCACTCCAATTCACTTGTTTTCCTTTATTTTCTACCTTAGTTAGTATTCCGCTCGCTCACAAGCGAGCCATCTTACCGCTTTTCCCTGTGCGTCACTGATAACTCTTGATTTTGTTATATTTTATAGTTTATATTTATTTAATTAATTACTTATTTATATCGAATTTTGGTATTATTTATATTAATTTATTCCAATAATTGTATTTATTGTATCTTGTATGTAGAATATTAATTTATTAGTTTTTAGGTGTAATTTATAATTTATTTGGTGTATAAATTAAATTAATTGGTGTGTTCCTTGAATTATATTTTTAGGCATTATTTTTGTGCTATTCAAGTATTTAATTTTGACTAAATTAATTTTATTTAATAAGTATATTTATTTAAATAAATATTTATATGGTATTTATTATTTATGCAGGTGAAATTATATTTGAAAACTGGTATAGGTACCTAAAATTGGCCTAAAAAAGCAAAAAATGGCTTCGAGAGCAAAAAAGAGCCGTTGGAGCGCCAATCAACGGTCAACGCAAAAAGTCAATGCACGTAAGTCAACGGTCAACACTGGCGCGGAATTCCAGCGGCGGCTACACAAAAGTAAGAGAGCGCGGAAAGCAAGCGGTGGCTGTGCGGAAAATAGTGAGCGTGGAATCCATGAGCGATGGCTACATTTATGAGTGCGGAATTCGTGACCGAAATGGAAAGCGAGCGACGGCTGGTTAGCGGCGCATTAAATCTGCACGGAAAGTAGCAAGAGGCGGTGGCTCTGAATTCTTGGCTGCATTTATTTTCGCTGGTCAGCGGTGCATTTACTGCACCAGCCAGCACTAAATTTGTCTCTTGTACCCCCAACTGCTGCAATTAGTGCACAACATTTTCTCTCAGTTGTTCCATTAAATTCCTGCACTTTATTTAGCCATTTTTTGGCTGTTTTGTGTATTTTTTATTCTAGATACTTATAGAAAATAGCTAGTTATTAGTAAGTTATAAGTAGTTATTGGAAAGAGTTACAGTGCTGAATTTGAAAAATCAACATCATACTGATTCTTTAAATTAGCACACGTAAAATACAGAAACAACACATGTCTTTATTACATACAACACATGTAATAAAGACATGTTGTATGTAATAAAGACATGTGTTGTTTGTTCATAACTACAACGTGTGTATTATGAGAGTATATTATGTGCTAAAATCAATTATTGTATGTGTTGTGTGAGAATTTATCATGTGTTGTTAGTTCATGTGCTGCATTTGTATTATATCGACGCATATTATATGCTGCCTGTGGTTATATCGTGTGTTGTTCAGCACAATGCTGAATTTTAAATTTAGCACTATAGCTGCCGCCGAAGCTTCCTTCCTCTATATATATCCCCTCTCATTGTATATTTTAGATACATAATCATACGCACAACCCATCATTCCATACACTTCATTTTCTTCATTTCTTTTCCTTCATATTTTTATCTAGTTTAATAATACGAGATTTTCGGTTTTGTGGCGCGAGCAAGCTGAGTTTCTCCCTTATTTTATTTTAATTTCCACATTCTATTTAGCTAGTAAAATTCCTATCATATTTCTCCACCTTACCTTCACCCAAAAATTCCATATTCGATTTGAATTGTTCAAGCTAGATTTCGACAAGGATGCGGAAGTATGGCAGAAGGGTTAACTATCAATGCCTATGATCACGTCATATTCATTAATAGAGATTAGGCGGTTTGTAGCAACAAAGTACGCGGGACCCTTGTCGACTTGCTTAGTTGTTGTTCTTATTTTAACCTGGATTAAAGAGAGGTATCAGAGGGTGATAGTTAGAAATCACATGCATTAAATGTTTATATTATATGCGATATTTGAGTGATTTTGATTGGATTCTACCTAATTTATATGCGTATTGTTTATTTGTTGTATGCAGATGACAAATATCAAATTTGGCGTAATTGGTAAAAAAAGTAAAGAAAACTTCAGATTTGCACAACCTGACTAACTAGACCCTCTTGATATGAGAATTTAATTAAAGGCACAAAAGTCCAACTACAAAATAATTAGGGCAAAAATTAAATAAAAAGAGGAGGATCACACGTTTTAGAGGGGGGAGAACGGCTAGGGCAGATACGCGCAGGAGCAAGAGACTGACAGACTCATAGATCGCGCATGAGCAAATCGACAGAGAAGATTTCCCCCTCCCACTATGACTTTATCTTTCTCTTTTGTTCTTTGTTATTTGATTATGGAGTAGATACTTTTGTAGTTTGGGGGGTGATAATGTTTTGGTTCTTTTGTTTTGGAGATTCTTGATTTTCTTTATAAAAGTTCTTTTTTATTATCAATATTTATCTAATTATGAGAATAGCGTTTGTGATTGTTAGATTGATTGAATATTTTGGTACCGATATTTAAATTAGTCTGATAATCTAAAGTCAATTCAGGTAGGATATCCGTAATTATATTCGCACTTGAATAGGTGACAACCGGGTTGAATAGTTCCTTCCCAGGGGTTAAATAATCAAATCTAATTGCTCCTCTTAGGTAGTAATTGTTTTGAATTGGGTTTTTCTAGATTACAATGCGGTTAGACAATATTCTTATGGGCGCACCTAGACTTATTTGCTTAATTAGGAGTAGTTAACGGTCGTACCTTAATTACCTACACTGTAAGGAAAAATTGGTTGTCAGAGTTTGTTGATAACTATAACCAATTTATTGATACTTTAATAAGAATTAACTTTATTGAATTAATAATAAAACACAAGTGTCATGACTGCATCATTGCATCATCCCTTGAGCCAGACATCCCCTTGATAGTCAGTTCCCCTTAATTTAATTGCTTTGTTATTTTATTTTCATTAGATAATAAAAGAAAATTCCCCCTTTATTTACTGCATTAGAACACGAAAGAGTGAATCACACAATCCCTGTGGAGGCGATCCCTTCCCCTGTAGTACATTAAATTGTGATCACGGATTATGTGAAATATTTTATTAACCGCGCGACAGGTCAAAGGGGTAGAGCCACTAGCGAAACAGTTGAAAGAATAATTCATGGGGAATAGGCGTTGGTGTATTGGGTCACAGAAATGTCCGGTGACAGTGGCTTTTCTTTCAAATAATGTTCTTCTTCGTGTCTTGCTGAAGTCTCGTTGTAAATCTCTAAAGTCAAGTACCAACCGAGTCGAGAATCGGCTTAAGTGACCAAATGCAATCACGCTCCTTCCTCCAAGCCGCCCCAATATTATACATATATTTTTCACTATCACACTATCGTCATCTCGTTCATTTCATCCATGAAAATCTAGCCATTAAGGAACACAAAAATCACACACAAACGCCTCGCTCCATCTTTTCGAGATAAATATATTTTATTGCTCTTTAGTTAGATTTAATTTCTGCAATTTTTTTCTTTTCAGTTCTTCGATTGCATTAACTCATTGCACTTTTTCTAATTATATATAGGATATTCGCATATTCTCTGAGTTCGACACAGACACTCACCAGTTAAAAAGATATTTTATTTTTGACGAAGTTTTTGGAGTTACAACACGAACACACACGACACTATTTTTATTTTATACATATATCATTTTTTATATCTTAAAGATATTTTTAAATCTCTCAAAACTTCGATCAAATTTTGGTGCCGTTGCCGGGGAATAAGTCTAGTATCTTTGTTTTAATTAAAAAATATTGAATTTAATGCTAATTTATAATTTTATTTTATTTTGAGCCTCTAATTCATCGGAGGTATGCTTTGTAGGTCTTTGTAGGTTTTAAGATATCGATCAAATCTGCACGACATTTATGTTTCGGCATAAAATCAAAAAATTTAAAGAAAAAAAACCTTATGTGCAGCGGCTTCTGTTTTGCCGCTCTGCTTTGTTCTATTTCTTACTTGTTTCTATATACGTATAAATAATAATACTAATACTAATAATAATAATAATATTATTATTATTATGGCGCCGCTTGCCTTATTTGCTTGTTTTGGCGTATATGCGTATGAACGAGTTGTGATCGTTTGCAAGCGGTGAACTGCTTCGTTGAAGATGCCCAGCCGAGTCCCAGCGGGGGTGAATGTCTTCTGAGCGGGGACTGAAAACAGATATGAAACCACGTTGGTTTCAAGCCTCAAGCGCAGCCCAGCGAATGGATCAGCGCATAGGCGGAGCAGTAGTTGTCCAAGAGGTCTGCTCCAGCGGCGTCAATTTTCTTAACGGAGCTGTGAAGTGCTTGATGGCGTCTATCCCTGTGCGCGAGCGAGGCAGAGAAGCCCTCCAAAATGAACGGCATTGGCAAGCGGAGCGGCAAGGAATTTGGCCAGCGACGGACAGATATATATCCTCTCCGAGCGGCGGTTGAAAATCCACTGAACCGGCTGCAGTCCACACCTGCAGCACCGGTTTCGGCATCCTCATTGAAAGACGTCTGTAAGACGCGGCGGTGAAGCCAACGGTGTTTACCCAGAGTAACTAAAATCTGTATACTACTGATTCGGAGCAGCGACTACTCCCGATGAAGATGCCCAAATTCCACTACTGACACGATGGGACGTCTCTTGTGCGGAGCAAGTGACGAATTCTTCAAGATATCAAGATCCCTTCAGATCAAGATCTCCTCCCCTGCGCGCTAAGAAATTTCTGAAATTCTTAAGTGCTCAAAACAGCGAGAACTGCAAGCGATCAACATCTATCTCTATTGGCGAAGCGGTGTCATGCAATCCGAAGCCAAAGAAAAAACAATCCTTCGTGAGCAAAATTATATTTATTATCATTATTTTTAATAAATTCTTTTTATCATTATCATTATTATTACTATTATTATTATTTATATAAAAGAAAGAGGGCAGCCTGCACGTCAATTTATTTGTTTATTTATTATATATATATTTTTAGAAATTATTATTATATTTTTATATTTAGCTTAAAATCTCCCTATACTTTAAAAATTGCATGGTAACTCTTTATATTTTAAAAAACTTTTCATGAAACCCACCATCATGGAACTTTTCTCATGTGATAAAAAGATTTATTTATATGTTTTGCATGGCAGGAAATTTCATGCAATATTTAGTACAAGGGAGGGTCATGCAAATGGGGATTTCTGTGGTTTTATGTAACATTTTTTAAAATATAAAGCGGTATTATGCAATTTTTAAAACGGGAGATTTAAATGAGTTTAGAAAGACAAGAGAAGGGAATTTCATGTAATAATTAATTTTTTTTTTCTTGTTCATTCAGTACATTTGGCGAATCCATTCATCCCGAAATTTGAAATAGAATCAAAGCTGAAGGTCTGACTTTGTGAACCAATGGCTGATCCGCTCGCAAGCGGTAATCCCAAGCGCAGATAGCGCTGATCAACACAGATATTCTAAGCAGAGCAGTGAAGCTGTTGTCTTTCTCCTGTAAGCGGTGGAGCTACGTTTGAAGCGAGCCGACTGGTCTGCCTAAACCTAACTGCTCAAAATTTTCTCAGCGCCCTCTTTGAGCGGTGACGAAAGTGAGCGGAAACATTCAGCCTAGCGATGCCTTTGAGAGTGGCGGCGATGAATACCTCGAGGATCTATCTATGTGTGAGCGAAGCGAAGAAGCCCTCCGAAAGTGAGAGGCGGCCCGCCCTAAGCAGCGGTAACGGATCAGCGGGAAATTGTTTTAAGGAGATCGAAGCAAAGCGACGCCCAGCTGCAAGCGAATCGGCCGATGGGCAAACAAGCGAAGCCGTGACTTTCCTGCAAGAACAAGTGAACCGGCTGGTTAAGTAACTATGGGTAAGTTTAGGTAAAGAAATCGATTTATTTATATATTTATTTATTTATTTTCCTCTTTTCTTCCCCTCTTCTTTCTCTCCTATCCATGGTGCATCCAATTCTTTTTTCTCTAAATTTTTTCACGGCCTTAATCTCTTTTTCTGTCATCTTCATCTCCTATTTTTTAAAAAAAACTCTGAATTTTACATCCGATTTTCTTTTAATTTTGGCCTGCCTTAATTCTTTTACCGTAAATTTCTCTAATTTCTTTACCGTAACCTCTTTTCTCCCACCGAATGAAGACTACGATGAAGCCAACCGACACCACTTGCTCCAATTCCAGCTGCCTACGAATCCACAGGTAAGCATGGAAGAATGGTTGTATTACTCCAATTCACCTTCTCTCCCCTATTTTCATCTAATTTTTTCAATTTGGAGCATAATATTAATATTCTGAAAATTTGCAAGAAATGCACTGGATTGGATTATGGTTTCCCCATTAACTATGCCAATAAGTGTTCCATGAAAAATTTGAATGAAATTATATTAGCTATCGATTGTTCGATTTGTTTCAAATAGGGATTAGGGGATTATGATCAATTAATTGCTGCCCGTAAGCTACTTTCTGTTGGAATCCTAATTGGTGATTGTGCTTGTATTACCTCATGCCGAGCATCATGTAAATTTATTAGCTTAATAGGTTCTAAATGAATTGGTTGTTTCACTCAAAGTTTGATTAGGATTCTTGGTCACAGAATGAATTGAAATAGGTTCTTGATGGTGGCTGCCAGTCTTGACTTCATATAGCAAGAACAAGGCCATGGGAGTAGCAGTTTGGTTATGTCCGGTACACTTGCCCGTGAATTTTTCATATAGCTGTGAATGAAGTTTCTTGATCAATATGGCAAAGTGACTTTGCTGATATAAAGTGAGCAGAGGCTATGGAAGTCAGCCTTGTAGTTCGGATAATAACTATGTTAGATATATAATAATAATTTATATTGCAAAGATATAATTATCGAATTAAATTCGATATCACAGCAATTTTATCGAAATAAATTTGATAATCATGATAATTTTATCGAAATAATTCGATAATTACGTCGAGTCGAGGTAGAACCTCTTTCCGTAAAAACGAATACGCTCCGGTAGTGCCTCCGGTTCGTGGCGCAACATTCCCAAAGATGAAACGACGTTCGTCTCCGAATTAGGTGGCACCCTAATATTTCAGAGCTCCGACGAACTAAAATGAGGCGAACTTTTCCTATGTCACAAGGTTTTAATAGAAAGGAAAATGCCAGAATATTGATTGGAATCTCACCGAAAAAATCGCCGAAAACAAATAAAATATATATATTAGAGAGAATGGGAGAAATAATGGTTTTTTGTATTCTCAAATGAAAGAACCAAGGCCTTTGTATAGGCATGTACAAGTGGAGAGACTTTAATTCATTCAAAACCAATTAAAAATTGAATTGGTTGATTTTGGTAGAAACCGACGAGCACCAATTCAAATTGGTTTGAATTCCATTAATTTGCATGTATCAATGCAGTAACATGCATTTATTCCATTATTAAAAAATAAATAAATTTGAAATTTATGCATATATAATAATATATGCAAATTTCTTCATTCCATGCAAAATACATGCATTTAATTTAATTTTTCCATGTACTTAGAGTGCATTAATTTCATGCATGTAACTATGTGCATTATGGCTATATTTTGTTCTATCTAAATTTTTTTTTTTGGGCTTCGGATTCAATAAAATATTTTTTGGTTTTTTTTTTTTTTTTTTTTTTATTATGTATAATAGACCGAATCAAGTCTAATATTCATCAAGCCCAAGTCTAATATCTCAACCCACGACCACATTCGTAGATCCGGGTGAGCGGCGCGCGCCTGTGACTTACCGGCATTTATATGCCTGAACCACATTCTGACAACCATTATATAGCTTATATGCATTTCAACTCACCGAATAATCGGTTTAAAAAATTATAAATTATAAATTAAATTCCATCGACTAAATTAATAATTGATCAACAGATTATTTAACAATCTCCCACATGAGTGGAAATGTCCATAATTAGGACAAGACACAGCTCAATTCTAGAGACATTGGCACGTCAGGATAGGTAGCTTGTGGCTTTGAACCTTCCTTAGTCAATATAATTGTCTGCACCGGTGGCCTAGTTGACATGATGCATTGAACTATTCCACCTTGGTGTGCATCTTAGTCAATAATATTGACATGTCGCTATCTCAGCCTCATTTTGTTTTCACGTTTTGATCTGTTTCGGCCATGGATCACCTCTTTGGATTCATAAGTGTTTCATTTGAAGCGGCCTTCACTTCACACTTACATAGGTAATCCTATCTTAAAGTATCCAACTCTACTTTTAGAATTATAAAGAGTCAGTGACTCAACCTCACCACTTTGCACTTCGTAACACTCGTAGTTTTCAGGGAATAGAGATTGAGTGTTCGTGCCGAACAATTATAGCTTAGTTGTCCCATTGAACCAAAGCTTTGGATCTCCAAGTGATTTTGGTTGGGTTACAACTGTAACTGTCTCTTAACTTGTGTATTTCAGACTCATTCCCTTTAGCAGTTTGAACATTTGATCACGATGTAACCCTTTGGTTAGCGGATCCGCAAAATTTTCTATTGACCTTACAAAGTCAATAGTTATAACTCCATTAGTGATCAATTGTCTCATAGTATTGTGTCTGCGTCGGATATGTCAGGATTTACCATTGTAAATTCCATTTTTAGCTTTTTCTATAGCAGCTTGGCTATCGCAATGTATCAAAACTGGAGGTACTGGTTTTGTCCAAAAAGGAATATCATACAGAAAATTTCTAAGCCATTCGGCTTCTTCCCCGGCTTTATCCAAAGCAATGAATTCTGATTCCATGGTGGACCAAGCTATACAAGTTTGTTTCGTGGACTTCCACGAAACTGCTCCTCCTCCGATCGTGAAGACATATACACTTGTCGATAATGAGTCTTTCGCATCAGATATCCAATTAGCATCACAATACCCTTCAAGAACTTAAGGATATCTAGTGTAGTGTATGCCAAAGTCGAGAGTATATTTTAAATAGCTCAAGACTCTCACTAGCGCTTTCCAATGACCGTGATTTGGATTGCTAGTACAACGGCTCAGGTTGTTTACTGAACAAGCTAAATTAGGCCTTGTACAATTACTTAAGTACATAAGGCTCCCAATTATTCTGGCATACTCTTCTTAAGCAACAGAATCACCTTGGTTTTTGCTCAAGTGAACACTTAGATCCATAGGAGTTTTTGCTGGAGTATTGTCGAAAGCATTGAACTTTTTCAGTACTTTCTCAACATAGTGAGACTGAGTTAGCACAATTCCTTCGTCATTTCTCAGAATTCGCATTCCAAGAATCACATCAGCGACTCTCATGTCTTTCATGTTAAAGTTCCTACTTAAAATGCATTTAACTTCTTCAATTAGGAAAATTTCTTTCGCTATAATTAAAAGATCATCTACGTATAGACATACCATTAGAAATCCGGTAGGAGTTTCTTTTATGTAGACACATTTGTCACATTCGTTAATTTTGAAGCCATTCGATAACATTACATTATCAAACTTCAAGTGCCATTGTAAAGGTGCTTGTTTTAGTCCGTACAACGACTTAATAAGTTTACACACCTTCTTCTCTTGGCCATGAACAATGAACCGTTCAGGTTGTTCCATATATAATTCTTCCTCTAATTCACCATTTAGAAAGGCAGTCTTCACATCCATTTGGTGAATCTCGAGATTTTGCAAAGCAACAATCGAAAGAAGCACCCTAATGGATGTAATCCTGGTTACCGGTGAATAAGTATCGAAGAAGTCAAATCCTTCTCTTTGTTTAAAGCCCTTTGCCACGAGTCGGGCTTTATACTTATCAATAGATCCATCAGTTTTATATTTCTTTTTCAGAATCCACTTACACCCTAAAGGTTTACAACCTTCGGGTAGATCAGTTAACACCCACGTGTTATTTGCATGATGGATTATATTTCACTGTCAATGGCTTTTTTCCAGAATGAGGCATCCGGACTAGAAAAGGCTTCCTTGATCGATGTCGGTTCATTATCCAACATATATTTAACAAAATCTGGACCGAATGTTTTCTCAACTCTAGTCCTTTTTCTACAACGAGGTTCAGTAACCTCTTGATCAGGATTATTCGTCATTTTCTTTTTCTCACCACGTAGTTTATTGTCTACGAGTCCAGGATTAAGCTGGATCTTTTCTTTGTACGGGTAGATATTTTCAAAGAATATTGCATTCCTTGACTCTATCGTAGTTCCTTCGGTCATTTCAAGAGTGTCCGACTTATGAACTATGAATCGATAAGCACTACTATTCAGTGCATATCCAATAAATACACAATCTACCATCTTCGCCCGATAGTGACTTGCTTCGGAGGCGGTACTTCCACTTTCGCCAGACACCCCTACACTTTTAAGTATTTGTATGAAGGTTCTCTGCCTTTCCATAATTCATAAGGAGTCACATCCTTACCTTTAAATGGAATTTTGTTCAAAATATAATTTGCAGTTAGAACTGCTTCCCCCCACAAGTTTTGGGGTAATCCTGAACTAATCAACAAGGCATTCATCATTTCTTTAAGGGTTCTGTTTTTGTGTTATGCGACTCCATTCGATTGAGATGAATATGGAGCCGTAGTTTGATGAATTACGCCACTTTCATTACATAATTCTTCAAATGGAGCTACATACTCGCCACCTCAATCACTTCAAACAGCCTTAATCTTACAGCTTACTTGATTTCCCCCGTTATTTTTGCAGTTTTTAAAGGCTTCTATTGCTTTTCCTTTTTCCCTGAACAGGTAAAGATAACAATATCTTGTGGAATCATTTATAAATGTGATAAAATATTTTTTGCCATCTCGAGTTTGCATAAATTTCAAATCACACACATCTATGTGAATTAATTCCAATGGCTCCGTATTTCTTTCAACTAAAGGAAATGTTAGTCTAGCCATTTTTGCCTCCACGCAAACTTCACATTTATTTTGAGTGTTCACTTTAATATTTAGTAAATCAAGATTTACTAATCTTTTTATAGTATTTAGATTAACATGTCCTAATCTACAATGCCATAAATCGGAACACTCAACCATATACGAGGAAGAAAAAACATTGTAACTGTCATTTGGTGCTTGGAGCACTGCCATTACATTCAATTCGAACATTCCATTGGAAAGATTCCCTTCAGCTAAGAACATGTCGTATTTTGATAAAATAAATGTATCCACTACAAAGACTAGTTTAAAACCATGTCTGACCAATAGCGATCATGAGATGAGGTTCTTGCTGATGTCAAGAACGTGTAGAACATCCTTCAAGGTTAATTCTTTCCCTGAAGCCATTTTAGCACCATTGTTCCCACTCCTTTGACTTCGGAAGAGGTATGGTTACCCATGTATAATTTTCTTCCCTCAGTCTTTTTATAAATCGAGAAACTTGCCTTGTCGAAGCAGACATGGCACGTGGCACCGGTATGAATAAACCATGCCTTCAGACTTACAACATGACTGGTCTCGTATATAACATTTACAAGATTATCAACATTGAAGTCACGATCAGTTCTATAGGACGTCTCGACTAAGTGAGAACTCTGATTAGACTTCTTCTTTTTAGACAGTCTATAGACACGTGCCTGTAGCACGTACAACGCAGATGTT